CTCTGAAACCTGACTGAAACTCTTCAAATAAACCATTCCTCTGCAGATGATCTGTTAGCTGTTTGACAACTACTCTTTCAAGGATGTTTGATATGAAAGGAAGGTTGGAGATCTCTATGGATCTTGTACTCAGAGCTTGTTCCTGTGCTGCCGTGATTAGTGCCTCTGTGTGTTCCTTCAGTCCAGCTTTGTCCAACCACTGATAGGAACTGGATGTAACCACTTCCTCTATCTGCCGGTGGTGTATACCATGTATGGGTATTGTTAGATTTGTATTGTTTGTTGTCATTTATGCTTAGAAATATTTAACGATATATGCTTAGAGGTGTATAATCGATTGTGTAGTGATAGGATGTGTGATCCTTAATAGTCTGCAAAGGCTTTGTGTGGCATTCACACCCACATCCTGGGAGCATGGGAGAGGTCGTAACTTGTCTTATTGTTTTATGGTAGGATAAACGTAGCTATGTCAGTTTTAGGCTAAGAGCCTTTTGTTTAGATGGACCGCTAGACTCCTGGCACCAGCTTTGGGGAATCTTCACGGGGTCACATCTTGACCCCACACACACATACTTACACAACGCACAGGCAAGGTACTCTTTGTTTGTATGTAGACGTCGTATGTTAATGAACCTATGTATATTCATGTAACCTCAATAAAAGAGCAGTGTTACGGGGGAGCGGACGAGAGCAACTGGGGTCAAGCGAAGGAACGGCGTTTGTCTGGTTCTCTCCCGTGCACGAGAAACATGAAGAACTTTGCCTACTCGTGTCTTGCTTTGCTGTGTAATTAAATTATCTTGAACGTTCCAGCGAATAGGTTTAAGCTGCAAACCTATCAGGTATACATGATAGTTCTTTTTCTCCTTGCCCTTCTTCCTTCTTGGGTTTCTTCTGCCTGAGGTATTCACTAAGCACACGATCAGATGTGGCCATCTTCCTGATGGACTCACGGATGTTCATCGTCTCATCCTGGATAGTTGCTCGGACACTCACTAGTCGTCAGGCTCTTTTCTTTCGCTTAGTGTACAGTCTCAGGGTGCTGGATTTTTTTGCCAGCTTATGATTGCAGCAGGTATTTCTAGCTGTCCCCAGTGTCTGCAATGTTGCCTTCACAATGTCACATTAAAATAAATTAGATAAATAAAATTAAACAAAGGCAAAATGCAAAATTGTGTTTTGGTGTTTAAGTCGGGATAATATTACATTTTAGAATTTAATCAGTTGACAATATATTCTTTTTGCATTAATACAAAACTGTAACACTGACAGAATTTTATTGTTATATAATGTTGACACTCCTACCAGTTCCTTTATAATGTGTGTGTGTGTGTGTGTGTGTGATTGAGATTTCCATCAGCTTCTGGATTTCTCAATCTGTCTCCTCCAGTTGCTACTGTGACTGCACCAATGAGGATACAGCCTGGAGACAAACAGGAATAACAGCTTCATGTTTGGCCCCGACTCACTTCAAATTACATCATATAGTCTAAATGCATCAAACCTGATGTCCTACTTAAATTTACCAGACAGACAGTAGACAGTGTGGCTTGTAAAGAATTTATAAAACTGCTAAAATTGCACAGTCTGTAGGCTGGGTGGCTTTAGCCTAATCATAAAAACGTGGTGTAAATGGACTGGTTCCTTCACAGTGCTTTTCTACTCCGAGCACTCAAAGAGTTTTACAAAACTTGCCTCATTCGCACAAGCACTTTTTCCATGCACTTTCTATGCAGGTGCTTTTTATCTAACATTTACATACATTCATACTCTGATGGATGCACTGGAACCAGTATGTTGCTGCAAAGTTAGCTGAGGTATTCACAAATATCTTCAACCTATCTCTCCTCTGTCCTCACATGCCTGAAGACATCCACCATAGTGCCAGTTCTCTAAATGATTACAGGCCAGTGGCATCAGTAACCATGAAGTGTCTTGAGAGACTGATGCTTAACCACAGGCTGGCCTCCCACCCACTCTGGATCCTAATCAGTACCACTTCTTTGCCCAGACTGCAGACACCCCTACCATGCACACCGCCCTGCCCATGGCCACTTCTGAGTTCAGCCCACATTTACCCTCCAAGAACATCAGGTGTTCAGAGCACTATATCAAAGGAAAGCTGCTGGCCCTGACTATTCAACCCCTCCCTGTCACATGCCACTGTCCCTCACTGCCTGAAATCAGCAACAATAGACCTGGTTCCCAAGTCCACCACCATCAGTGGCCTCAATGACTACAGACCTATTGCACTGATGCCAGTGGTTGCAAAATGAAGCACATAAAGGACTGCCTCCCACCCAGCTTCGACCCCCACCAGTTTGCTTATAAGGCAAACAGGTCCACCGAGGACGCAAATCCCACTGCCGTCCACTCTGCTCTGCATCACCTGGAGAATCCTGGGACTTCAGTAACGATGCTCTTCATTGATTTCAGCTCGACTTTCAATGCCATCATGCCAGACAGACTTATAGCCAAGCTGGTAAACTTGGACTTCCCCCACTACACGTGCATGGATCGAAAGCTTTCTTACTGACCAATCACAATCACCAGAACTTCAGAGAAGGTGATCAGCTGTCCACGCCCCTCCCTGGACTGGATTGCCAGCTCTAGATGTCTCTCCAGAGCCAGGGCTATTACAAAAGACCACCTGCATCCTGTTCAGATCCATCAGATGCAAAACCAACAGACTAAAGAACACCTTCTACCCGTGGGCTGTCAAAACTCAGAACTTCTTCCACAGGTCCATCTAAATCCATTCCAGTCACCACTGTTTGCCAAAAAATCCATACATTTAAAATTATTGTAGCTAATTTTACACACACACACACACACACACACACACACACACACACACACACACACACACACACACACAGATAATATATATATATATATATATATATATTATAGCAAAACATAATAAATGGCATTTGCAATAAGAAAAATGTGTGATTCGCACAAGTAACCTCGTTGCGCTGCCTCTTCTGTCTGTGCCTTATCTTCCAACAGAACGACGGTGTTGCGACACTGGCAAAGTGCTCCATAAAATAACAAGGACACGACATAAATCATTCAGCTTACTTGTACTGTCAGTGTGAATAATTCCCTCTGTAAGCAGCCTGTTCATCTCTGTTCCTCACTCCTATGTGAGTCTGCACACAGCCGGCCTGGAACAAAACCCCCTGCTGCTCACCATCACACACCCACTGTGACCATCACCCAGGTGCCGCTGTCCATTCACGCTGCTCCTAACCAAACCAACCAAGCTGGAGGGCTTTAACGGAAACAACAGCTTCCCTCGTACAGGAGCCGCTGAAATAAATTACCTGCTGACACCGAGTCGGACAACCGCTTCTTACACACACACTGAAAGAGGTGTTTACCACACAAAAACACACATATGTATACGGGGTTCCATGATGTGTTGCTGGGTCACCCACAGAAGCTTTTCCAATCATTGTCAAGTGTCTGTGCTGCT